GGAATAGAACCCAGGGCCTCGTGTATGCTAGGCAAGCACACTATCAACTGTGTTGCATTCCCTAGCCCCTAGGCTTTTCCTTTCAAAAACCACCATACATTCCTTTATGTAGGCCTTCATTCACAAACCATTCACAAGACTATTGTGGGCTTATAGGCTATTTTAAACATAATTTCTGTTTGTATATTTATAAGTGAAAATAAAAGCACATACTAGGGAGTGGAAAGCAGCCGGGAGGTGCCCTCCCACCCCAGCAGAGTTATCTTGTTTTCTGGGGAGCCTGAACTGGAAAGGCCCGATCCTTAGCCTGGGGGAAGAAGGGGGGCAAGATAATGACATAATTAAGGCTTGTGGCTGGGCACTTTTGATCTTCAAGGACCAGAGCCCACATGGCTGAGGCTCCATTTGGGTTAATTGCCCAGAACCAAGAAAGCCTTGCCCAGAGATAAAGGGAAACTGGTGTTTCAACATTACAAATTGTTCTGGGATGGCTCTGGCAGAGCCTGGATGCCTGGGGCCCAGCTGGCCCCACCCGCATAGAGAGGGTCCTATGGGTTTCTGGGGGCTGCTGGGTGCAGAGACCACCTACGGGGTGAAGCCCTGGCTTCCAGTTTTTTGTTTTGTTTCCAGATAAAGGACCCAAATTCAAGGCGAGCCAGGGACAGATCACATCAAGAACAAAGTCAGCAGCACAGAGCACAGGGGGCTTCGATGTTTCTCTTCTTGGGGTTGGAGCTACCCATGCATACAGCCTTCACATTCTTGCCCAGTACAAATGCAACCTGGGCCACCCTAGTTTCCGGTATTCTTGGATCTCCCAAGGGATGGAGCACTTGGTGCCTGGAACTCAGTCTCACCTGTTCTCTGTGGACCGGAAGGGGTGTCTAAGTCCCTCTGCGGGGTGGCTATATGAAATTATTTCACAGGGCAAAAGACCGGCATCAGTATCAGGGCTCAGTATCGGTCCTTGCAGCTAATAAGTAACAAGGATTGCAATAATTGAGCACGGATAATTGAGTTCCAAGCAGCTGAAGGGCACTGGCTAGGTGCTTCACGTTTAAGATACTGGGCTATGGGGCCATATTTTAGTCCAGTCGGATGGTCTCCCTCCTCTCAAAGCCGTGTCTACCCTTCCCTGTGTGCTCCGGGTCTTGGGTGGAGATGGCACCATCAAGGGTTAGATGTTAACTGGTCACCTCAGCTGCTCAGCCCCTCTCTTGGGCTATTTCAAACACTTGACACTTTAATTATGGGCGGGCAGACATGCAGCGCCGGGGGCGCTGGAGACAGGCCGGAAGCATCCGCTCCGGGGGCGACCGGACATCCCCCGGTCACCGCCAGGTGCACTTTCTGGTGCCCCTCCTCATCTCCTCCCCTATGTCTCCGAGCTCCGGGCTGCTGATGCCTTCTTCCTCCAGCTGACATCAAGTGTCCATAGCGTCTAATATGTTTGTCTTGGTGGGTATAGGATTATTTGGGGGTGGGTGCGGGTCTTTCTCTGGCACTATGCTCCGGGGTTCTCAGCCGCTGGGGCGGGGATGCCCGGTGGAGCCTGGAGCGACGCACCTACAGGCTAGGGCAGCAGCCGCCCACACCTCCTCCGACTCTAAAGTATATTTAGCCTCATTATCAAATGTTTGCACTGAACCGAGTGAACCGCCTAATAGCGGCTGGAAGTGAAACTCGAATCCCAGCCAGAGGGAAGCACGTGATCTCTCCCACCAGAAGGGATCTCCGAGGCGCGGGCGGGACAGGTGCGGTGGCCTCGAGCTCATGCAACCCTACCAGCTCGGCTTGGTTTCTTGGTGTTCTCTGGAAGCCTGATACCTGAACCTCACTCACACAGCCCTATCCCCAGAGGCCAAAATGAGGACTAGAGAGTGAGCAGTGAGTCCCAAGGGGAACCGAGGCAGAGGATGGGCTGAATTGGCTGGTTCTTGTTTAGGCCCTTGACTACATGATTTAGCCATTCCCAGTTTTCAGAGACCATGCGTCCATCTCTTAGGAGTCTTCCGAGGACCCATGGAGGTGAGGGGTTAGGAATCGCTGTCTCACATCAGAGTACCCTGTAAGCTTAAGGGCGCGTGCCCCAGTCCCCTCAGGCGGCTGGCGTCGGGCTACACAAGCTCTTACCACCCTCGCGCGGCCGCTGTTGCTGCGGTCGCTATGACGACGGGTCGCGGTTTTATTTTTAATAGCGGTCGGCGATTAGAGCAGTGCCTGCGCCCAGCTCCCTGCAGCTCCCGCGTCCGCAGCGATGCATCCAGGCCTAGCCTCACTTTGGCCCCAGATATCCCCTAGCGCCTTCAGAATTCCTTCCTCCCTGCTCTGATTTCCAGCTGGGCGCCCCTGCTGCACCAAGAGAGTAAGGGGAGAGAAAAACACCACTAGGCGGGGTCCCCAGGAACCCGCGGGCCTCCATGCGGAGGTGGTGGCCGGACGGGCGCGCATCCCCTCCGCAATGCAACCCGATCTTCTTCCTGGATTCCCATATCCACCGTCACATCGGGTCATCGAACTGCAAAGAGGTGTCCTCTGGTCCTCTCTGCCTGCGAGGAGCCCGAGGGCTTTGCAGGACAGGACGCGCAGTACTCTTGGCATAAGGTGAGGAACTCGACCCAGGTCCAGCTGGGTCCTGAAAGTCGCCGCCACAAGCCATCGGGTGAATCTCCATCTTCAGAGCCGCACAGAGTTCCACCAGCACGGATAAGGCCTTGGCTTTCCAGGACCTCGAGGTGGGGCGCTTCCCAACATTTTCCAGACTCCCTTGTTAGCCCAAGAGGGGGTGTCATCTTATCTCCTGAGCACCACAGGTGTTAGAGCAGGGGCGTGGCGATGGGGGATTGAAGGCCTATGGAAGCCTGTGTAACGACAGTAGTTGCGGGTTCCAACAATTCTCAGGGGAGCCCAGGGTATTTGGGGATAGGTGAGCCGCCCTAGAAGGGCCCTTCCAACTTGGCCTTTGAAATTCAGGAATCCGGGGAGCTGGGGATAAAAGGCTTCTGCCTGGCTACGTCTTTGTCTGGGGACAAAGGAGATTTGGGGGGGGGGTGTCCGACTGGGGCAGGGTGCACGGGTTAATCCACATGATGAGGAGTGAACTGGACGCGCCGTATTCTCTACTGCATCCCTACCCAAGGAACGCTTCATAGTTTTCAGAGCCCTAGGCTTTTCTAGCTTTGGGATTCGAAAGGTTCACAAATCCCCTAACTCCGCTGCTTGGCGAAGCGCTGGTAGGGTTGGCCTTGCCGTCGGGTCACTTCCCACCTGAAATCCGTCTCTTGAAATGGGAAAATCGTCCAACCCTGATCAGACTTCTGCCCGCGTGTCGCTTCCCCGCCACCCAGTCTGTGCTGTGAGTTGGCCGGAGGTGGCGCTCTGCTCTCCCTTGGATCCCAAAGCAGAACCCAGGAGTTCCTCACCCGTGGCTTCTTTTCTGTCTTTCCTTCTACTCCCTCAGCTCCCCGGGTTCAGGGTGCGGCTGGGCCTTCGGCCAGGGGCTAGGGATCTGGAGGGTGCAGGGTGTCAAGGTGGCGATGAGGCAGGAGGCAGCCTCCTCCCCGACCCGGGCTTCGTTTCCACCTCCACACAAGAGTGCAACTTCCTCAATCAGGTGTCCCAGGCTTTGGCTCTGGGGCGCGGGCGCGTGGCAGCCATCAGGTGAGTGCCCTAGA